AAGTAAAGAATTGAAGACAAGGGGCTGGAGAGATGGCTCAGAGGTTAAGAGCATTGCCTGCTCTTCCAAAGGTCCTGAGTTCAATTCCCAGCAACCACATGGTGGCTCACAACCATCTGTAATGGGGTCTGGTGCCCTCTTCTGGCCTGCAGACATACACACAGACATAATATTGTATACATAATAAATAAATAAATATTTAAAAAAAAAAGAATTGAAGACAAAAATGATTGTAGGCTGGCTTAGTTACATCTCTGTCCCTAAGAAGAGTCACTGTGACCAGGGAACTTATAGAAGAAGAGGTTTATTTGAGGCTTACAGTTCTATAGGATTAGAATCCATGATCATCTTGGCAAAAACACAGCAGCAGGCAAGACACTAGAGCAGTAGGTGAGACTTAAATCTTTACTGAAGCAAGAAGCAGAGAGAGACACTGGGAATGGTGCGGGCTTTTAAAACCTGAAAGCCTACCCCAGTGACACACCTCCTCCAGCAAAGCCACACCTCCTAATCCTTCCCAAACAGTTCCACCAACTGGGGACCACATATTCAAATACATGAGTCTATGGGAGCTATTCTCATTGAAACCACCACAGAAACCAAGTCGACTCCTGTGTCTCAAGATCTCAAGGTTGGCCTGAGAAAGTATTTCTCAATCTGCTCTGAACCTTTAAGACTCCAAGGCTTGATCCTTTTTGTTGCTGTTTTGGCAGAGGGTTTGTTGTTGGTTAGATGGTCATCTGGTCTCCATTCTGAAATCTATGGGCCATTAATGCAATAGCCAGAGAACTCACAGGACAAATAGGCAAAGAAAATGAGGCGTATGACACAGTGGAGTTGTCAGCTCTAAAAAGGAGGAAGTCTTAGCCCTGGAGTTCACATAAGAGACCTCTGATCGCCACACACCAACCACAGCAATACACCACACACATAGACATAAACAGTAATAAATAAATTGGGACAAGTGATTCAGGTATTAAATATGCCACCTCACAATATAAACACATATAATGTACATATATTAAATACCATGTTGGACCTCACAAACATATCTTATTTATCAATTAAAAATAAAATTGAAAATTGAGTGTCAATATCTTTGGGACAACATAATAGAAACAGTGTAAACTCTGAGTTTCATTTTGTTGTTTTTCATTTGCTTATTTTGATTTGGGGAGGGTTGAGGGGATTTTTGTTTTTAAATGGTGTTACATAGTCAAGGCAGACTTAGCCTTGAGCTTCTCACGTAGCTGAAGATGAACACCTCATTCTTCTGCCTCTGCCTCCCAAGAGCACGGAACTTTGACCACCACTTCTCCACCCCTCTCCCATCGGGCTGTACATCAACTTAGGAATTTATTTCTCAACGCATCTGCACTTAACCTTCCCACATCAGTCTTCTCATTTAACAGGAGTTAAAATATTGGCCATAGAGCCAGTGCCAATAACAACAGCAGTGAGCAATGCTGAATGCCAAGGTCATGAGTTTTCTGTGAGGATTGAATGAACAAATCACCTGCCAAGGAAGGAGTCAGGCTGCAGCTTGGGGAGGTGAGGTGTTGTGTGTCTGTATGGGAGGGGGTGGTCTTGAGCAGAAGATGCTAGAAGTTATCTGTGGAAGAACGTTTGAGCTCTAGCTGGACCAAGAATTGAATCATCTTTCTAAATTACTCACTCATCTGAGCCCCAACATTCTCGCTCTAGAAATGAGACTGAAATCTGCCCACTTGAGACTGCTGGGAGGTTCAGATGAAATGGGAGCAGAGAAAGCATCTTCAAACGGCAGCTATGATAGGATAGCATCATTGGCTTAGACACTCTCCACGCTGACAGCTCAGTCTGCTCCAAACCTAGCACTGCCCATCCAGCATCTCAGCTTGCTGTCTGTCACCAGGACACGGGACTTCAAAGCTTTTCCACTAGGAAAGCAAAGTAGATGAAAACCATCTCAACGTCCCTGTGGACAGCACCTGGAATCCCAGGTGTATCCAGATGGAATGAGAAGAAGCATGTTTAATGGATAAAACGTGTGTGCGGTTGTGGGCGAGTTTCCAAGAGGACACACCTGGACACCACATCAAGACAGGAATGAGAAGCCAGCATCACCTCTGCATCACCTCTCGCTCCAGTGTTACGGCAGGGGAGTTTCTGCAGAGTTCACCTCGGCAGACCTGCTGACTGGGCACACCAGTCAGCAAATGCAGCCAAAGCTGTGTCCTCTCACCAAGCCGACTTCCCTGAATTTTTTCTGCATGCTTTTTTCTCATTACCGAGACTGTGGAAACACACCCCTGATGAACACTGGCAAACTTGAGACGCAGCAGCTACGACTCTTTAGAGATGTGTAGTATGTCTTTAAAGTGAAAACAGACTTGAGCCTGCACTGGCAAGCATTCATTTCCAAGCTTTCTGCTTTCTCGGTGTGAGATAGATTACAGCATCTCCAAAAAGGGGCCAGTCAACAGCCTACGTGGTTTCCAATCAAAAGGCATCTGGTTCTTACACGGTGCACCTTTCAAGAACGGCACCCTCCCGCCCACACTGCCATGTAATTCCAAGGAAGAAAGGCTGGGAGGAAAAAGATGAATGAGTTCTGTCAAACCAGTTGGTAACCTGGTCATGGCTGCCTACAGCCTGCCTACTTCACCTTCCTCTTCCCCAACACAAGTTAAGGGAAAAAGGTTTCCACAAAAGGTCCCGCCAAGCCAGGGGTCAACACACAAAACCCTGCTGTGCCTCATGTGCTTGCCCCTCCCCGTGGTAAATACACACAAGACAACTTTTACTTTCTTCACCCCTTCTGCTCCCCATCCCGGTCCTGACAAAAGGCTACAAGGCTCTCTGTATGACATGAAAATCAACAGAAAGCAACCTAGGTCATGACATCTGTTCTGGTGGCACGTCCCTACCTTCTAACCAACTGCCACACTGGTGGCTACTCACCTGGTATTTAATCAAGCCAAGAGTTTCATTCATTCCACACACAGACTCTCCTCCTGGGGACCCCAATAGGGAAGCAATGGCCTGTATTCAACAGTTAAATACCTAAGCTCAAGTGCCAGGTCGTCTAAGTGAATCTTGGTTTCTTATTTGTAAGATAATTGTAGCATGAATAATAAAAACGCATAAACAGATATTGAGGTTCAACCTGAAGATCAGAAAAACAAAGCAGCCAGCCAGTATGGGGTATGGAGTCTTCAGAATTCATGAAGACTGAACCTTGCCCATTTTTGGTCTGAGGCAGAGGTAAGAATCAGTGGTTGGCTGCTTTGCTTCTCTGATCTTCAGACTGAACCCCAAAATCTGTCTCTGGTTTTTTATTATTCATGCTACAATGATCATGGAGTGGGTGGTCTTCATAGCACACACACACGCATATGCACACACACATACACATGCACGTGTGCACACACACACATACATGGTGTGCACGCCTGTAGTCCTCCTACCTGGAGACTGTCTGTAGCCTTGGCATACAGGTGTATACCTTAAATCCTGCCACTCAGGAGGCAGAGGCAAGTGGATCTCTGTGTGTTTCAGGCAAGCCTGTGCTACATAGAGAGACCCTGCCTCAAAAAAATAAGAAAAAGAGAAAGGAAGGAAGGAAGGAAGGAAGGAGAGGGAGGGAGAGAAAAAAGAAAGAAAAAAGAAATTAAGAAAGAAAGAAGTTAAGAGAGGAAAGAAAATCCATCTTAATGCCCACGCTGAACGCCTTCACTGATGACACAAAAGAAAGTGCTGACCGAGAGCCGCCCTAACAGAACAAGGATGGGCAGTTCAAGCTCACACACTGGTAATTTTAAAACAGAAACCCAAACTAACAACTTTCTTTCAAAATGTTTGCCATGGTGGGGGGCGGCATTCTGATCCCCAGTTTTCCATATCAGTTTCTGCTAACTGGCCTCCCCGCAGTCTGTCTGCAAACAGCCCCCGCTGTCTGCGGAGCCTCTGTGGTCAGATGCTATCTTCCATCCACCACGCGAGATGTAAAGTGTAAAATCTGGATTCTCCATCCCCCAGTTGCCCAACTCCGTGTAACGGAACTCTGTGTCTCCGTCTCTCACTTTATCTCCTACAAAATGTCACAAATAATTACACCTCACTGGAGGCTTGATTACATGAGCTTATTAAATTAATTTCTACTCGTTTTTATATGCTATAATCATTCCGCCCAGAGGCTGGCTGTAGTACCTATTTAAGTCGGTATTGTTCTTGTTGAGAACTGACAGTTTCCAGACCTGAGCCAATGAATTGCTTTTGTACGGCTCATTGCGGAACACACACAGAGCAAATGACAACAAAATAGAGCAAATTAATCTTCCAAATTAGTCACATGGCCTTGACGTGAAATGCTAAGATGCTGGTAGGCGGGATGAGAGTCCTCACATGGTCATCTGCTCCCCAAATGCCACCTTCTACTCTGATGTCTCCGGGAAACACAAAGTGCCCTCCCCCTTTCTCCCTTCAGTGCTGGAGCTGGCACTGCAGACCTCACCCAGCAAGACAAGAACTTCCAGCCGCCTCTCAGACCTCTCTCGACTTCTCAAAGAGTCTTTACTAATGTCTCTGAAGCGGCTGAAACTAAACACCCCCTCCCCAAATCTCATGATGAGAGTGCCACCTCTATCCAGAAGATCTACTTGTTTTACAAGAATATTCTTTGAAAATAATAAAAAGAACCATAAAATTCTTATTTCGCTATTATCTACACAGGTACCAGAATCAAGCAGGCTCTTCACGGTCTGCCAGCCTCTACAGAGGTAGCTGGGCTTCCGTGTTGTAACGTTAGAATGTCTAGTCCCAGTCTCGTAAACTACAACATAGGCAAATACATTATGGACCTGAGTGGTAGTCAAGTATTTTATTTGCCTAAAGAACATAAATATTTGTGTTTTACAGAAAGATAACATGGCCTAAATATTTCTCATCAAAGAGACTGAGGAGGGGAAGAAAACAGTCACTCAAGATGATAAGAAGACAAAATTCAAAACGAGCATTACCAGCCAGACAGGAGCTCATCAGGGCGAACATGGTGGTGATCACGTGGTGGGAAGTCACTGCCATTTCTCCAACGGGGGCCCCCTCCAGTCACCGCAGCCTTTGGTCTTTCAGGTCGAAGGCGAGCTTGGCAAGTCAGAAGTGGCCTTAAAATCCCTCTCTGCAACTGTCAAATTGTCTATAAAAATAAACAAATTTCAGTAAGAAAACAAGGTGTTGAAATTTCACCAGCAAGCACACATTAAATGTTAAAAGTTAAATGGAGAATTTCTAAAAAGAAACAATTTGTCAAGAAACATACTAGGACAGCACTCGGGCAAATTAGGGCGGGGACGGGGATTATTTAACAAAGACGTCATAGAAAATAGTTTTGAAAGTGACATGTTTACACTTGACATTCTAAATATCTGGGGAGTTGGAAGGGATTGTTTGAGACAGGGTCTTTGTTTCCCAGACTAGCCCAGCACTCTGGGGTTCAAAAGTCCCTCCTGTTTCGGCCTCCCTGAATAGCTAGTATCACAGGCAGATCTGTGGTCCTGTGTAGAGTTTTCTGGACCATTGCAGACACTCCAGGTCACCTGTCCTATCCGCAGCAGGCAATCACATGGAACACTCAGCTCAGAGTGCCAACAGTAACACTGGACATGTAGCTCAGAGTGCCAGCAAGCAGAAATAGTTCCTAGAAACCGAGCTGCATGCCAAAGTGACAGAGTTATCACCAAGATTGAATTCAATTACACTGAAAATTTATCTGGAAAACACACACACACAGAACCATAAAAGAACAAAGCCCTTTCACCTTTTCGCCAACATTAAAAAGCAATAAAGTCTTCACCGCCCCTCTGTCCTGTAGAAGACTCGGTCCTGGGCCAGGAGATTTAGAAGGCTCTTTCTAACCCCGTTCTATCTAGAGCCCTGTCAGGGTTTTATTATTGCTGCTTTTGTGGTGTGTGTGCGTGCGTGTGTGTATGTGTGTGTGTGTGTTGTTCTCTTGAGACAAGGTCTCACTGTGTAAGCTAAGCAGTTCTGGAGCTCACTATGAAGAAAAGGCCGGGCCAAAAACTCACAGAGGTCCACCTTCCTCTGTCTCCTGAGTTTTGGGATTAAAGGCGTGAGTCACCATGCCCAGTTGAGTTTTGTGATTTTTTTATGTATGTTTTGGGGGATCTGTTGTTTTGTTTGAGATAGGATCTTGCTTTGAAATGTGTGTGTGTGTCTGTGTGTGTGTTTGTGTGTATGTGTGTGTTAGAAAGACAGACAGACAGAGAAGAGAGAAAGAGAGAGACATCAAGCAAGCACAGGCTTAGAAAAGTGGCTCCCAGATCATATACAATGAATCATTCAATCAGTCATCAATGTTAGCTATTTTGATCACTGCTCCATTCTCTTTAAGGTCTTCTCACTGATAAACTGGGAAGATCAAGGTGTGGTTATTTATGTAATTCTTAGCTACTACCAGCAAGTTTTGCCTATTGCAAAGGGGAGAACCAAAGTAAAGAGCAGGGCCACTGAGAGAGAAAAGTGGCCAGTGGAGCTGAAGGCCCAGAGAGCAGCACGGTGAGCAGTCAGAGGTGGCACGAGGCTGGCTAAGTTAGAAAACTGATTTGGAAGCCACGCAGTTAGCTTCAACAGCCCCTCGATTTCCGCCACCATCTTTTCCTCGGTGTATCAAAGAAATGGAAATATCTATATCTATTAACTTAAGAACTGAACAACGAGGAAAGACTGTCCCAGTTTTTCCTCTTTGAGAAACTAGATTTCCTAAATGGGTTAATTAATAAAGAAAAGAATCTCTCTCAAAGGACACAACATTTCAACAAATACTAGCAGAAATTTTAATAAAGCAAAACCCATAAGGAGCTGTAAGAAGATGGCTCACAGGGGGATTTTTACGGGTGAATGACCACAGGCAGCACAGGGCTCACTCCTCCCCCCACTGCATGGGGCCCGTGGGGCTAGGCTGCATTAATCCAGGAGCCACCAGTTCTGAGGGAACCCATGGAAAGGAAGGCAAGTGATTCTATTAAAAATATGGACTGCAAATTGCTGACAAGAATATTGGGCAATTATATAATTATTATACAACCGAGCCAAGCTAAACAGATTGATGCCCAAAGCAAACCACAGCAAGTTCACGCCGGATCTCAAGACAGCGCTGAGGAAGTCCAAGACAAGTTGGAACTCCACACAGCTGTGGCAAACAAAGAGGGGGCCTTCTTTGAGCTAAAGTCCCTCTTTAACAGAACTCGTTCAAGAAGAAAGCAAACTGCAGAGAGCTTTGGTCTAATCTCCCCAGGGTGGTGACAGAGGTCTAGGGCACAGGAGACTAAAAAGGGAACCACATGAGCCCTACCTGGCTGATCTCCAGCCAACACTCAGAGATTCAGTCCCTCGGCAGAATTTGGGGGAAGCCAGGCCTCCGAAAGTTAAAGCTTTCAAATAAAATCTTCTCTTTTCGTTGAGGGTCTGTCATATTCACTTGGAAAAGACCAGGGGCTGCTGACCCTCTGTGGGCTCATGAGCTATAAGGATATACACAAAAAGGCCCACTGAGGTCCTGGAACAATTTGCAGGCTACTGTAGAGTGGTCTCCCAGCTAACCACTGTAGAGCCATCTCTCCGCTCACCACTGTAGAGCAGTCTCTCTCTCTGCTCACCACTGTATAGCGGTCTCTCTCTCTGCTCACCACTGTAGAGCGGTCTCTCTCTCTCTGCTCACCACTGTAGAGTGGTCTCTCTCTGCTCACCATTTACAGCTTCAAAGCACAGGGACTGAGAGCAGCAAGCACCACAAATTAACAGGAGAACATGGAGAGCGAGTCACAGATTAAAAACAAAGAAGAATGTGCCGCTAAGTCTGTTGATTTCAGATCATGCTGTGTTTACTTCTGAGGCCATTAATCTGAGCTGGCTGCTGCACATTCCTGGGATCCAGCAAAGCTCGTGGTAAATAGGGGGATTAGCTGGGGAAAGCCTACTCAACCGAATCCTTGAAAGGAGTGGCTTAGAAAAACCTGCTCTGGGCTAAAGATTGTGTGTGTGTGTGTGTGTGTGTGTGTGTGTGTGTGTGTGTGTGTGTTTGGTGTGAGTTTGTATGTGTATGATGAGTGAGTGTGTGTGCCTATGTGTGTGTCTGTGTGAGCGTGTGGTGGTGTGTGTGTCTTAGTGTGTATCTGTGTCTTGTGTGTGTGATGTGTGAGTGTGTGTGTCTGTCTATGTGTGTGTCTGTGTGAGCGTGTGGTGGTGTGTGTGTGTTAATGTGTATTTGTGTCTTGTGTGTGTGTGTGTGTTTGGTGTGTGAGTTTGTCTGTGTGTGATGTGTGTGTGTCTGTGTGAGAGTGGTGTGTGTGTACACACGGGTTCACACATAGAGAGCACTCACGCATGCAGCAGACACCTTTCAGAGGCCAATGCTCTTCCTCACTAGGGTCTCAGGGACTGAACTCTGGTTGTCAGCAGCACTTTCACTGGCTGAATCATGCACTGACCCAGATTTGAAGATCATAAGGAGACTGATTTAGCAAACAGAATTAAAACTGTCATGAGTAGGTAGGAGTAGGAGGTTACTCAGTTGGGAGAATGCTCGCCTGCTACACAGACAGTACACACTCCGTCAGAATGCTTGCCCGCTACACAGACAGCACACACTCTGTCAGGATGCTCGCCCGCTACACAGACAGTACACACTCCATCAGAATGCTCGCCCGCTACACAGACAGCACACACTCCATCAGGATGCTCGCCCGCTATAGACAGTTCAACAATAACACATAGAGCAGGCCAGGTGGTGCATGCCTGAAATCGCAACACTCCAGAGGCAGAAGGATCAGGAAAGCCAAGGTCTTCTGCAGCCAGGGGGAATGGCATTGCCTGAGCTCAAGTAGTGAGTTACTCGAGTTTCTGACGGCTTAGAAATGAAGGGATCTGGCAAAAAAACGACTCAGCAGGTCAAAGGTGTTTGCTGTACAAACACAACAGCCCGAGTTCAATCCCTGGAACCTACAAAGACGAGAACCAAAAACTGCCTTCTAATCTTCCACTTGAGTGTCACAGCACATGCAGGACCGTGGTCATGTGCACACATATGCACACATATTTTAAAACTTTTCTACTTTGTCAGTTAGGTGGGCTTTTTGATAAATACAAGTTGTGTTTGAAAATGTTAAATAAAGCAGGCAGAACTGTTTTGTCCACTATTCAATACACTATTCAGTGACAGCAGTGTAAACTGCAACATCAGCCTGTCGTGTGGCAGCCGGGGAAGTGGCAGAGGCAGAACCGTTGCTGTCTGGTAATACCTGGATGCCCTTTGGAATGGTACACAGATGAGCACAGCCTCACAGCAGCTAAACTCCCCTCCACATGGTACACAGATGAGCGCAGCCTCACAGCGGCTAAACTCCCCTCCACACAGAGAAAAGCTGCATCACTCAGGTACCCAGAGAGGGAGGGTGGGGGAGTGGATCTGGATGAGAAATCTCTGAAACCATATCTAAGCACCATTGATACCCAGCAAATATTTACAGCCACTGTGTGCCAGGCAAACCGGTCTGATGCCAAAGGTGTGGCGGTATAAAAAGGGCCCAAGCCTCTGCTTGGTGGGGTTTTGTTGGGGCCAAATAAAAGCAACGTCATTTGCTTTTGGGGATAAGACATTTAATTTCTCAGCACCGTTTCTTCTGTCCACAGACTGTTATTACTATTTGTCCTGCACCAGATAATAGAAGTATAGTGGCCAATGAATCGAGAGGTATGCTTTTACACTTACGGATTTACAGTATGGCAAACAGGCATATAGTCACAAACATGGAATTACACAGTATGGAAAGAATTATAAAGGAAGGACTCTTAGGAGACACATATCTTAAATTATTGGGCACAGAAAGACACTGAGTGAGTACCCTTATTTCACTTTTGTTATTATGATAAAATACTTGGATTTCAGCTCACGGATCCAAGTTGCAGGCCCTGACAGTCATAGGGTCACGTGCTTGGAGACAGCCAGTCACGTCACATCCATCAAGAGCTGAGCAGATTAAATGAACGTTTGCTTGCATGGATTGCTTTTGTTGTGCTTACACTGCTCAGGGGCATGGAACAGTGCTGCCCAAATTCAGGGTGTCTTTCCATCTCAGTTTACCAATTATGAAAACCCCCTCTGTTCCGGGCTGAGCAGGG